CCTGGCGGAGGTAATGAATTGCTTTTGTCCTTCAATTGTTTTATTTTAATTAATTAATTTATTCCATAGTGTTGGTATATAATCACACATGCCCCCTTCCATCGATATATAATTCTATCCCTCTATCACAGAAGATCTTCTCGATAAGGCAATCTCTTGGGCACAGACGATGACAATTATTTCCAAGCAACACATTACTACGATCAAACACGCACGCAAATCCTTTCTGTTCAACAGCGGAAATCCTTGGGTTAAACGAAATAACAATTCCTCATTTGACGTGATAATGGGTTTTTTCGACGGAGCTGAGATATGCGAGCTAGTCGGCCTATATATCCTAAACGACCTCTCGAAGAAGATTGGCAAAGATTTCGTCGAACTATATAGAGACGATGGCTTGACTTTAATTAAAGGAACTAAGAGTGGACGCGTGATAGACAATGCAAGCAACGATCTATGCAAACTCTTCCGCCAATATGATCTCAAGATTACGAGCAAAGTCTGCTATCAAAAAGTAAACTTCCTCGACGTTACACTTGACCATAAAAATGAAAGTTACCGACCTTACAGAAAACCCGATAACGAACCCTTATATATAAATAGCCATTCCAACCACCGCCCCATCAATCATCAGACAGATACCACAGTCCATAAACAAACGAATTTCGCAGCTATATCATCAAATCAATCAGCTTTTGACACATCTGTCCCACTATACGAAAGCGCACTCCACCGAAGTAATTACGACGCTAACTTCAACTACGTTCCCAGCAACAACGCGACCAGCAAACCAAGAAGAAAACGTTTATTTGGTTCAACCCACCTTGCAGCAAGAATGTAAAGACGAACGTAGCTAAGACCTTTTTACAACACATTGACAAGCATTTCCCGAAAAAGAGCAAGCTCCACAAGATTTTCAACCGCAATACAATCAAAGTCAGTTACTCTTGCATGGAAAATGTAAAAAGCGCCGTTTCTAGACACAACCACCGTATCCTCTCTGAGACAACAAAAGCTGCAAACACCTCTGATACAACAGCCAGGACCGTACCCGATTACAAATGCAACTGCAGAAACGCGAACGAATGCCCGCTCGGAAAGCGTTGCCTGGAAAGCAGCCTTGTCTATCTACGTCGGGATGACTGCAGATTCATTTAAGGAACGTAATCCGTTGCTAAAAATATGTTCCAGCCTGTCAAGCAAAACCCCTATTTCCAATAGCAACACCTTATATGGTCACCAGTGTTAATTTTACACGCACCCAAAAGTTTTGTATACATATGCATAGGTAAATTTCTAGATGTTTGGGCACCTCGTATGATATGACTAATAGTAGATTTAGGATTAATAGACCAATAATAATATGAATTTTCGAACGCAATGGCTCCATGCACCCACTTCATTGTGCATTAATTTGTGGTATCCGCTTTTCTAATACAAGGAAGTGGTTTAAATGTATTTATTCATTATGTGGAGCCGAAAAACAGTCCTCTTCTACACCAATACATACAACGCAAATGGAATTAGAGTCAACGGCGAATAAGTTACTTGATGTATTTATTGCTCCCTGGGCCAATCGAGAATCAAATTCATTGGCTGCCAGGGTTGCAGATGTATAAATTATAGATTACGAACCGCTATTACCTAGCATCGGACAGGTAAAGACAAAATTAAAGTGTTTAAATCCCAAGAAGGCAACCGGTGTTGATGGTGTACCTGCATGGGTACTAAAGCGTTTCCATGAAGAATTAGCCCCGAGTATCCACGAAATTATCTGCGCTAGACGCTAGTATCCTCCAGTGTAAATATCCAAGCCCCTATAAACATGCTTTGATTAGCCCCGTTCCGAAGGTAAACAATCCTGACGATTTAAGTACTGATTTCAGGCAGATTTCAATCCTACCGCAAGTGGCTAAAGTCTTGGAGAAGATACAACTAAAGCTAAACCAAGCTGATCTTAAAATTAAAGCCAACCAGCTCGCGTTTACGAGGGGTAGATCAACAGTCAGCGCTTTGACCAGCATAACTCAAGATTGGTATGACGCCACAGATCAAAGTAGCCCATACGATGGTGTACATGCGCTGTTTATAGATTTTCGAAAAGCGTTCGACCTCGTCGATCATGAGATCTTATCTGAGATACACATCGGACACAGCATGTTAAATTCTTAGATGTCCTATCCAGAATGGAAGCAGTACCGGCCGGTGTCCCCCAAGGAGCTGTTATCTACCCTACGCTATTTAACATTTATATCAATGACATGGAAGATGGTATTCCAAACGAACTTCCAACGACATGTAAGTACGCCGATGATTGTAGCCAATATGAACTTGTTTCTACTGGACTAAATAGTAAAATGCAGGAAGCAGTGAATTTTTTGGAAGACTGGGCTACCCAAAATAAAATGGAGTTGAATACCAGTAAGACAAAAGATATGTGGATAGGATTTACGAGATCAAGCCCAGCTCCCCCAAGCATCAGTATAGGCAACGAAATTATTGAAAGAGTCACAAAATTCAAGCTCCTTAACTGGGGTTACCATGCAAAACGACCTTAAAAGGAAGTCACATGTACAAGATATCGTTAAGAAGGCAAGTAAAAGAATCTATTTCGTGAGGGCCTGCATAGGAAAGCAAATCTTCCAAGCAATATAGGGCTAACAACCTATTGCACAAAGATAAGACCCATACTGGAATATGCGGCACCAATCTGGGCTGGTTTACCATATTACCTAAAGGAGGATATCGAAAGAGTACAAAATCGCTGTCTAGATATCATTGGCTTGTCGAGAAATAAAATCGAGTCGCTTGTGTCAAGAAGAAACTATTTAACAAGTAAAGAATATGATAATATACTAAATTCAGAAAATCACCCATGTAAAATATTAATTTGTAGAACTAACGCACATGAATATAATTTAAGGAGAGGTTGTAACCCACTTTTGGCACCAATCTCATTTACAGATAGACATAAACAATCATTCATACCGAGAGCTGCTTGGTTGAACTATTTTAATGAACATAGTTAACTAGAATAGTCTTACTTGCATATATATAGATAATTATATAGATAATAGCTATCTCTCATTCCAGCAAAATGTACATTATAGTCGATGAAGTTTTATATATATCTTAAATACTGTTGTAAATTTTTAATTCTTTTTAAATTTGTAATACCACTGTAATTCTTTTGCCAAAGGTGGTAACTAAAATCTAGTATTATTATAGCACATTACGCGATATGGGTCATCTAAATTCAGGTTATATTGATGATTCCTATCTGCAAGGGGGGATTCCGTACATGAATGTAATAATATTCACGACACGGTAACATTATTTAGCAATATTGGTTTCTTTTTACATCCAGACAAAGCGCTTTTGAGTCCGACACAAAAATTAACATTTTTGGGATATGTACTCAATTCATTACCGGTTTGGCTCACGCAAGATAAAATTACCAAAACCATTAACTGTTGTACTGAGTTCATGTTTTCATACTAATGTTTTCAGTGAAGCCTACTGTTTTCCAGGTTCCCAGGTGATCGGTATTTTAATTTCAAATTTACCTGGGGTAGAATACGGACAGCTACATTATCGGTCTCTTGAATCGATAAAATTGAGGCATATTAAGCGACAACAGTGGCGATTACAATAG